AAGGAAACCTGTGCGTGAGGTTTGAGGGTTCCCACCCCCTCTCTCTCAGGAAACTGAGAACTCCGAGGCCATAAAGTAAGTCACACCAGACCCAAAGCATCAGGGCCAAGGCCAGGCCGTCGTTTGGAGGCAGCCTCGGTGGCCTGTGAGCAGGGCTGCCAGGAGAGGGGCTGGCGGGGAGGACGGGGCTCCATCTCCCAGAATGTGATGATGTTGTGGCCCAGCACCTCGACCCACAACACGGCACAATGTTCACTCCATTCATTCCTTCTTTTATTTATTTTTTATTTTTTTAAATATACTTTATTGATTTTTTACAGAGAGGAAGGGAGAGGGATAGAGAGTTAGAAACATCGATGAGAGAGAAACATCGATAAGCTGCCTCCTGTACACTCCTTACTGGGGATGTGCCCGCAACCAAGGTACATGCCCCTGACCGGAATCGAACCTGGGACCCTTCAGTCCACGGGCCGACGCTCTATCCACCGAGCCAAACTGGCTGGGCTCATTCCTTCTTTTAAAGAAACTCTGACTTGTTCTGGGACAGGAAGGAGTCTAGGGAGTGAAGAAAGCACAGCCCCTTCCCTTCAGCTGCGAGGCAGGTAAGGAACAAGAGAACCCGGTCAGTGGGGAGGCGGCGGGAAGTGTCAGAGGCCCTTGGAGGAAGGCCTCTGGACTCAGAGCCTCCGGCCCCGCTTGAGGCAGCACATGGCAGACACATCATCCTCAGACTCGCTGCGGAGGCGTTGCTGTTTAAGGCCCGTCTGGGGTCCTTTGTAAACACACTTGTGAGATTGGCTTAGTCCTAAGGTTTGTTCTTGGTCTTGTTTTCCTGGATTAAATTGAAGAGGTTGGTTTAGTTTCCAGTCCTGGACCCTGCCCTAGGCCGGAAGGGAGATTGGGGCGCAGGCCTGACTCCTCAAGACTTGAATTCCCTCCCCCGCGTCTCTGTGGACTTGACACCCACTTTCACTAGGAGCGTGTGAGCGGGGCTTCTCCGCGTGGGGCGGCCCCGGATCAGACTTTGGCGAAGGTGTGCCCCTGCCACGCGATGCTGAGCTCTCCCGGATTGGATTTCTCACACCAGAAGCTCCGTGTTACAGGAGTCCCAGCGAATCCTCCTACCACTGGATTTTAGGAACGTGCGGCTCTGAGCACTAAGTGAAAGCACGGCCTGTACAGTCAAGGTCTGGGGATCTGGGAGCACTTACCAGCCTGGCCCAGAGACAGAGCCCCATGGAGGCGTGCCCCCTCCTAGGTCTCCCCCAGCGTGTCCTCTGCCCCTGTGGCCGCATCCTCTGTCTGTGCCAGGGCCCCTGCACACCCTTTCCACCGACATCCCCCAGCGCGTCCTCTGCCCCTGTGGCCGCATCCTCTGCCTGTGCCAGGGCCCCTGCACACCCTTTCCACCGATGCCTGCATCCTGCGAGGCTTTCTGTGTGGGAAAGTGCCGCTTACTTTGATGTAACCTATAGATGCCACGTAAACGTCTCTAGTGGTAGGATCCTTTATTACAGGAACAGGTGGGGAGAGCACAGAAGAGGGGCCTCTGAACCTCGTCAGCCATCTGTCCAATGGGAGCTTCAGTCCCTCCCGCAGGTCTGGGAAGGTGTCAGTGTCCTCACTGAGCCAAGCCCAGGAAGGGGCCGGATGACAGGACTGTCACCACAGCCTGTGAAACTCCCTCGGGGGAGTCGGCATCCTGTTCCGCTTAGGAGCGAAGGCTCCTGTTGCACAGCACAGAGCGATGGCTTCCCTCACAGGCCTGCTGCCTCCAGACGCCAGCTGATAGGATCTGTGTGTCTCGGGGCCTCTGCCCTGCATTCTCCCAGGCTGTTTGATCCTGAGCCACTTTTAAGCAGTTCTTTCCAAAGGACCAAGGCCCGGTGTCTGTCACAGCATGTCCTGCTCTCGGGGAGGGCCCAGGACGGCCTGCAGCTCAGTCACCTGGGCCCCCCGCCCCGGAGGGCAGGGTGCTGTGCCCCTGGGTGCCGGGTCTGCAGGGAATGACAGAGCGGTCCGTAGGCCAGTGAGGATGAGCTTCGGAGAGCTCTTCACTCCCTCTCCACCCTGAGCCCGTGCACTTCATACACGGGTGTAGGAGTCACACAAAACCAAGTGGCCACTCTGTTCCTGGTAAAGCTGCTTTGAGGAAAGGGCTTGATGCTGAGGCCAAACGGCTCCCTTCTGCTCCCCTGACCTGTCGCACTACGTCCTCCCCGCCTTGCGCAGCTGCACCCATCGAGCGAGGTGGGCCACTGCTTGTCCGCTACCAAGCCCTGCTGCCATGTCAGCCTGGCTGGATCCCCCTTCTCCTCCCCTCCGTGTGCCTTCGTGGTTTGTGGACTCAGACAGGTGGCTTGACAACGGACCGAGATTGTTATGTGGAACCTTGGGAAAATCTCGGAGACTCTGCTGAGTTTATGTGAAGATTTTCTTTCTTGGAACAGATAGGACTCCGGCCATGGTGTTGATCAGTTGCTGTGTGAACCCATAAGGCAGCTGCACTGGGGAGGTGCACCCAGAGCCCCTGCTCCAAGTCCCAGCTCGCTGGCCCTTGCAGCACCTGTCCCCACACGCCAGCGAGTGGGTCCGGGCCTCCTGTCCCACGTAAGGCAAAGGGAATTAAAGTTGGACTAAATGAGGGGTCCATAATTATTGAAAAGAAAAAAAGAAGAAAGATGAATAAGCAAAGATCTGAGAGCACTTGGCTTTGCTGGAATGGTCACAGCCTGTTCGGGCTGCAGACAGTGAGCCACAAGGACAGGGAGCTCCGTCCATGGCCATTTGAACAGCGGGAGAGTCACACTCGAGGCCGAGGCTGACAGCACGGGGCAGGCCGGTGTAGGTGTGGGAATTAAGGGGGATAAACTGAACGTCCCTGCCTTGGAGACCGGTGTCCTTGTGGACACAGAGGGCTCACGAGGTCTCAGGCGCTGTTCTGAGCACGTCACATGTACTGATCCCTGTGCTACCCACACTTACCCTGAGGTGGGGGCTCCTGGTCATCCCTGCATAACAAGCGAGGAACTGAGGCACCAACAGTTAAGTGACTTGCCCAAAGTCACCCAACCAGCAAATGGCAACTTAACGTTTCAACCCAGTCTACATCCGTTCATCGTGAACTTTAAATGTGTGTGATTCACCAGGGACTCTGGGTTGAAAGCAGGTGCTGTCCAGCAGATCTGGGCTGGCACCCGAGTGGTCCTGCACTCCCGACCAGCCCCATGGCACCCGCTGCTGGTCCTGGGGCCACTTGCAATGGGGAGGCTCTGGTGTGGTAGGCACACCTGGTGCTGGAAACGTAAGCATACAGTGGTTCTCAACCTTCCTAATGCCGCGACCCTTTAATACAGTTCCTCATGTTGTGGTGACCCCCAACCATAAAATTGTTTTCGTTGCTACTTCATAACTGTAATTTTGCTACTGTTATGAATCGTAATGTAAATATCTGATATGCAGGATGTATTTTCAGGGGTCGTGACCCACAGGTTGAGAACCGCTGATAGGAGATGCATCTCATTTCTGTATTGTCTTCATTCAGACTCTTTGTGGTTAGCCTGGCCCTGGTTAATTAGTTGAAGCTGTGAAAACCCATGCACGCTAATTCAGGAGGGAGGAGGGGTGATTTAAGAGCACCGAGCTCGAGAAGCTAGGACAGCAAAGACAACACATCAGCCCTCTGGGGATGCAAGGTGCCATCAAGATCCAGTCTCTCAGCCCCGTAGGCCTCTCACTCCCTTTGTTCCTGTGCAGGGTCTGTCTTCATTCTGTTCTGCTTGCCCGTTTTCCACACACAGCTGCCTGCCCCAAAGTCCACGATTTCTTCCAGCCCGAGGGTCCACAGCAACCACATGCACGCTTTCTTAGTTTAAATTCTTGAAGGGCGGGATCTGATGGTTTGCTCTCATAGTCAGCGAGTGCAGAAGCTGTGAGTGGAGCAATGAGGCAAGAAGGATGGTAGACAGATTGTCTGACATGTCTAATACCGTGCAGGACCAAGTACCCACTGAGTCCACGCCTGGGCACCTCCTTGGTGGGGCCATTAGAAGGAAATAGATCATTTATTTACTTGGCCTCTGCCAACTGCCAGGCGTGTGCCCAGGGATGGGGATATGCAGGTGGAGATACGGCTCTGGTGTCAGGGAATTCAGGTTCTAATGGGAGAGGAGTTCTTCTCCAGAACAATAGGCTAACTTACAGCAGACCTGGCCCTCCTCTGAGAACAATGAGAAAAGCGGGGAAAAGCTGCATTTTAGCTTTGCTAATTACATATTTATATTCTGTAAATACATTTGTATTACATAATTACACATTATCTCTGTGCACATATATTTCAGCTACCCTAATTGTTCTCTGAAAGACAACAAAGATGATAGATGATAGATAGATGATAGATAGATAGATAGATAGATAGATAGATAGATAGATAGATGATAGATGATAGCTATATGATAGATAGATGATACATTCTTTTTATTCAGGTCCTAGATCTCTTCTCCAGAGCTCTTCAGTTTGGTGGCCATGGACCACATATGCTATTTAAAGTTAAGTTAATGGAAATGAAATACAGTCACAAATTCTGCTTCTCTGCCAGGTGAACTGTGTGTGCAGCACAGGGAGACCATGTCCATCACCTTGGAAAATTCTATTGGACAATATTTTAGTTCCCTGGCACCTTGCATTTTTTGGTCGGGTTAATTTTTAGATTTTTATTTCAGACTAGAGGCCCAATGCATGAAATTCATGCAAGAGTAGGCCTTCCTTCCCCTGGCTGCCTGCACCGGCTTCCCTCTGGCACCCGGGACCCGGGCTTCCCTCGCAGCCCCGGCTTCACCTGGTCATCTGGAAGGTAATCCAGAAGGATGTCCTGTCTAAGTAGCATATTATGCTTTTATTATTATAGATAGTATTACCCCTGTGCATGGGACTTTCGGTGGTTCAGACTCTTTAATTTAGTATGATGTTCAGATTTAATAGTGTAACTCAGCTTCGTTCCCATGCCTGTCCAGAGCAGGCCCAGTGAAGTCAGTGGCCGAAAGCAAACAGGGCGACACAATCCAACACCAGGTCCTGCTGCTCCACGGGTGTCCTGCATGGAAGACGGGGCTCAGAGCGCAGACCCCAGTCACCACGTGACCTCGGGCTTCTCTATCTTGAGATGCCAAATGGTAAAAGCAATACTGTGTTGGTTCTTGGAATCCCCACTGGGGAATCTATTTTGCGAGAATATGGGGCAGTGGGACTTCTACTGAACCGCATCCCAGCTTTGGCGTTTATTGGCTTTTAAACAGACAACATCTCTCAGTGGTTACGCGTGAGTCCTGGCACCTCTCTGTGGCCCGTGCGTCGTGGCCGGTAACTGTGGTTCTGCACAGGCGAAGATGACTGTGTAAAGGTCCGGGGTGCCGTCCGGCCTGGTTTTGGGCTTCGGGGCGGGCTGGGCCCGTAGCTGCTCTACTCACGCTGTGCTGTGTCATTTTGTCTTGCAGTGATTCCCTTCAAAGCTTCTGAAGACTCATCCTTTGGGAAGACGGGGACGTGGGCATTTTTTGCAGGTAAAGCTTGCGTTCTGTTTTGTTATAAGATCTACCTCACCTTAAGGTGAGAAGGAAGGAATAGAACAGGAAGAAAGGACCCTAACTTCTTAGATTTGCCACCATATCACGTTGTTTTCTCGCCATAAACTTAAGAGTCGGACGTGAATTCTGGTGGTGCCAAGGGTTTAGGAAACGTGGAGGTGGAAGCTCCAGGCTGTCGTTTGGGGCTTTGTTTTGCTCCAGAATTCCTACTCTCACATGATATTAGGGAAGGATCTTCGGGCAAAACAAAAATGGCAAATACGTCCACTGTGACTAGTTCTTTCTCAGGTTCATAGGAGTCTGGGATCTGGAAACAGCTTGAAATCTGAAGCAAGTGCTTTTCCACCCATTTGGAGTTGCAGGGGTCGTTGGAAGCACTGATGTCTGCACCACATTTGCAGAGGTTCTGACGAGTGGGAAGGGCTTGAGAGCACAGCTGCTTCCCGCCCAGCCAGGCCTTCGAGCAGTGGCTCCCGGGTTGGTCTCAGACCCGCAGCACACACCAGCGTCCCCGGGAGCCCTTAGGGATGCCCTTTGGCGGGCACTGCCCTCACTCACAGAACCAGGAACTCGGTGGTTCTGAGGCAGCTCCACCTGGAGCCTTGGGGCAGGACCTCAGCAGGAGGCAGCTGGGCCTCCCCAGGGACATTGGCCAACAGGTGGATATAGTGTTGGTGCCACAACTAGCATTTTGGTGCTACTGGCATCTCTTGGGTAGAGGCCAAGGATGCTGCCAAACAGCCTACAATGCCCAGGCCGGCTTCCTGCAGCAAAGAATTTTCTGCCCCTAATGCCACGCCTGCCAAGGCTGAGGAACCGGGCCTCGAAGGCAGGAAAGCCACAGCAATGACCACAGAGCTGAGGACTTGGACCATAAACAGTGAGGGACTGTGCTTGTCAGCTCCCAGGCAGGGCCTCTGGTCAGCACCAAACCGAGTCCTGCTAAGAGCCGGTTGGGACATGGTGAGGGGTCACTCACGTGCGGGCAGGCATGGATAGATGGGAGTGACCTTGTCACAAGGACCCAGGAGAGTGTGACCTGGGGCCTCACCATCCCTTTCAGGTAACTCACCAGGTGTGCTGGGAGCAAAGCTTGCCCTGGGGGAAGCAGTGAGAGCTAGATACAAGCAGTGGGTCAGGCCGGGGTTTCTCTCTCTCCCTCTCCCTCTAAAGTCGATAACGACTTTTTTCAAAAGCACTTTTCCTTTTGGGAAAATGCAACCATAATTATGCACCTTGCTTGCCAGCCATAAGGTGTCACTCAGGTAGGCCATTAGGGTTATTGTTGCCTTTCGAAGTCACAGACACTGTTTCTCCGGTTGCGCTTCGCTCCAACAGTGATGCTTTGTTTTCCCCGCTCTGCTTCTGCGTGTCTGTAGCTGCCTTTTTCTTTATTTATGACCTCCAGCCAAATAATCTCCCATTTCCTCCCTGAGCCTTTCATTCAGTGAATGTCTGTTCATTAGCAAACGTGAAAGTGACTTGACTCCAGCAGGAAAAGCCGTCGACTTTTACCCATGCTTCTGTGGCCAGGACGGTGATGCGGGGGAGGCCTGGGAGGCCCTAAGGCAGGTCGCTGGCCCGGAGACAGAGGGAGCCCTCTCTACCACCAGGTCACAGTCTCCTGGGGGTCTGGGAGTAGTAACGCAGACTCCATGCCCCCCTGAGAATCTGATTATATGTCCAGGAAGAGATCAGAGAATGTGCAGTGTGTCAGGGCTCCCGCTGTTTCCAGGACGGGGACGATGTACTTGGAAGGACTGTCGCGTTTAGTCCCCAGCGCCTTGCAGCACCATCAGCATCTCTAAGCCTCTCTGAGGGTAATAGCGCTTTGCAGTTCACGTGTGGCTACAGAGTGTCAGGGTCACTCTCTGCTTAGCTCTACGCAGTGCAGGCAGCCCAACAGGCCCTCTCTTCTCGGCACAGAAACAGAGGTCCGCTCGGAAAAGCGGCCTTGGCCTTCCCACCCTGAGGAATGCCGCAGGCAGCTGTTTCCACGGCACCCTTCCCCTGGGATTTCGGCATCCGTTTCTCTGGGCTTTGCTTTTTTAACCCAGGCGCGGTGTTGGTGAGGTCAGGGGTACAGTTGCAATTCCCCGGCGCCTGATCCCAGGCCTTTGCCCTTTTGTTCCTGGATGGGAGAGCTACAGTGGGGCCTGCCGGCGGCCATCCATCCTCCGGGGCTTGGCGGGGCCTGGCTGTGCACCCGCAGCACAAAAAGGCATTGTCAGGCCTCTCACGAGATGCTGCTGCTCAGATTTCACAGGCTGGGCAAACAGTGGCAGAGTGCACAGCTCCCTCCACAGAGCTGCCATCTCCCCGGCCTTGGCGTTGGCTCTGGAAATGGAGAGGACGGGCATCCACTTCCCAGCTTCAGTGGTTCGGGAGAGTTGGGTTCCTTGCCTGAGCTGAGGGGTGCTGGGCTCACCAGGTTTCAAAGCAGCTCTGCATACCAGGCAGCCTCGGGTTGCCCAGCAACAGGTGCTGTCTGCCATTCTGGGGGCCATTCTGCAGGCCTGTGTGGCCTGGCTTTCTGGGAGGGCGGGAGCGGGCGTGCAACCCCGTGCACCATTTCAGCCTCCCTACGGGGTGATCATCTCTCCAGCCTGCTGGCCCCACCATCTGCTTCCGGGAGGCCTGGGCCGGGGCCGTGTTCTGCATGGTGGCTTGCAATTCAGCCTAAAAATAGCACTGGTGCCTCTGGAAGTGCAACGGCAGAAGACAAAAGTGCAGATGAGTTTGGGGAATGTAACAGGATTTTTGGAATTATTTGAGTGTGCAGGTAAATGGGGAACCTTGAAAGCAAATCCCAGATGTAGTGAAGCCACAGGCGTTTTGTTCAGTTTGGAGCTGAGGGCTGGGATTCAGTCTGGACAAGCATTGTTTGGCCTGGGCTGTTCTAAAACCTCTGAGCAGCATCTGTAGCCAGGGAGGTGTTTGCATAAGGGTTGAAGGAGTGGGGCCGGCAGGCCATCCTGAGCGCGCTGCCTGGAACCGAGCGGCCTGCCTGCCCGGTCACAGCTTTGCCCCAGCTGCCCTGGGACTCGTGACAGCTGTGGCCCTGGCTCACAGGGCTCAGGGCTGGGTCTTGGTTCGCATACTCTTGATGCAGCAAGAGGAAAGCTTGGAACAGAGGAAAACACGAGAACTGTGGGGTGATGGCTGCTGCCCAACCTGGGGAAGCTCAGTGTTTTGGCTTCTCTCCTCCTGCGAGGCCACATGCTTTAAGGTGCACACAGCTTCAAGGGCACACTAGCGCGCAGGCGGTCACCGGAGCCTGTGGGGCCTCACCGGCTGCTGGTGCCTGCTGGCCGGAGGGCCTGTGTGCTTGGCGGGTAGCGGAGCCTTCCAGACTGGCCTGATGTTTTATGATCTGTATCTGTGGCTGCCTGTGGAGAGCCCCCATTGTGCCATGTTGAGGAGGCTGTGATCTGAAACCCTAACATGGGCCTCTTGGAGCCCCTCGCCTCCTGCCAGGGCAGAGTGGCCACAGATGTCTACCGTATGCTCTGGGGACACTGTGGCAGTGTCTCGCCGTGGCCTTGTCCTTCCGTGGTTTCTGCAGTCCCAGAACCAAGGGCAGAGTTCAGATGCAGAGGTGGGCTGTGCGTGGCGGTGCCTGCTGCAGCAGCGCACAGTAGGACAGCTTCTCTCCATCCGAGAATGACGCTGAGGCCACATTTTCCTTGCCTTCTGGTCCAGGGGCCACCTCTCCAGGATCCCTATGAGGCAGATGTGTCCACCTGGCCCACATCTGTCTGCCTGGCACTGTGCCAACTGTTCCCCATCCCTTCGTCCCAGACTCGGCTCTGCAGCCTGTTCCCAGTGAGTCTGCTCCATGGCGTAAAATCCAGGACTGTGCCCTGGCCAGTGTGGCTCAGTTGGGCATGCTAGAGGCAACCGATCAATGTTTCTCTCTCCCATCGATGTCTTTCTCCCTTCTTTCCTCCCTCCCTCCCTCCTTCTCTAAAACCCCGGGTGAGGATGAACAACAAAAAACCAGTCAGGACTGTGACATGACCCCGCACTCTGGCCGGCCGCATCCTGTCCAGCTTCCTGCCCGGGACCTCTGCTCTGTCCCTCGGGGCCTCATTATTTTAAATGGAGGCCACGCCTCCCTCCTCACTGGCCACTCCGGATGCTCCACCATATTAACCACAGAGCCACCCATTGGAGACACAGGCGTGGCTATGGGAAGCTGCTTTAATTTTGGTCACAGGAGGGAGTTTTCTCTGTTCTGCCTCAAACTCCTCACATACCCCTGAACTCCTGACCCCTGTAACCTGCTCTGCGCCCCCATCCCCCTGCATAGCTTCCCCGGGACCCGGGACTGGAAGGTCCCAGTGGCTTCCTGGTGGGGAAGCCAGCGGGCGTTTCCCTGCAGCTAGTGCTCTGCAGGAGTCCGGGCCTCTGGAGTTCTCACCCGGCCCTCTGCCCTGTGGCTGACTCCCCCCCCTTCCACGCCTCCCCCGCCCCCCACTCCCTCTGGGAGACGCTGCCTGTGCCTTCTGCCTCGGCTTCCTGAGGTGTCCCCGGTGCTCCCTTCACCTGCCACCTTGGCCTGCTGCGTCTCCATGGTGGTGCCCAGGCTCTAGCTCCCGGGAGCAGGACCCACTCACCCTAGAAAAGCCACTGAGCCTGCTTCTGCGGGCGCCCCTGGCTCCTGGCCGACCGGCACTGGGCTTCCCTGGGGCCGGCTGCCAGGGAGAGCCGAGAGGAAGCCGGGAGCCGGAGTCCGTCTCGTTCTCCCTCTGTCTGTCGCATTGACCATGAGCCCCACCTGTCCCCCAGGCCGGCCCAGCACACTTGCCTTTTCCGTGCAGGCCCTGACCTGACTACTTCTCCTGGTCCCAAGGGCTTTCCAAAGGCGGATTTCTGTCGACTAAGCAATTTTTCTTCTAGGAACTTAATCTGAAGAACATAATGTGAGAGAGAGATGTGTTACAATTTAAGCTTATAAATGTCCATCATAGAATCATTTACTTTAATGTACTGTCAGAAACACTTTTAGTAGCCAATAATAAGATTCAATCAAATCATGTATGAGAAACTTTTATCACATTTTTAAAAGCAGTTCAGAATCATTTTTTTAAAATATGTTTTTTTTAAATATATATATTTTATTGATTTTTTACAGAGAGGAAGGGAGAGGGATAGAGAGTTAGAAACATGGATGAGAAAGAAACATCGATCAGCTGCCTCCTGCACACCTCCTACTGGGGATGTGCCCGCAACCCAGGTACATGCCCTTGACCGGAATCGAACCTGGGACCATTCAGTCCACAGGCTGACGCTCTATCCACTGAGCCAAACCGGTTAGGGCTAAAAATATGTTTTTATTGATTTTAGAGAGAACGGAAGGGGGAGGGAGGGAGAGAGAAACATGAATGTGAGATAGAAACACCAATTAGTTGCCTCCTGCATGCCCCCCAACTGGGGATGGAGCCCAGGCATGTGCCCCAACCTGGAATCAAACCAGTGACCTTTTGGAGTGTGGGATGATGCTCAACCAACTGAGCCACACTGGCTAGGCCAGAATCATTTTTTGAAGAGAGCTTAATGAGAAAATGAGATTAAACAAAAAGCAAGGCATGAAACTACATGATGTTAACTTACAAATATGCACATACACATAAAGTACCCGCATGTTAGCAGTCTTCTCTCGGGGTGATGGAGACGGAATACTTCATTTCTCTCTCTGTTTCGCTCTCTATATATATTTATTTTCTCTACATATTTTTGCATTTTCTGTGTTATTTTAAAGATGACTCAGAGCAGAGTTCCAGTCCTCTGGGAAGCTGCTCTCGCCCAGCTGGGCCCGCGCCCCCTCTGCCTGCCTTGTCCTGGGCACGCAGTCCTCCTGTTGCGGGTGCCGTGCAGCCTCTCTCGGGAGCGCACTCTGCATGCTCCTTGTTATGCCCCGAGTGCTGAGGAGCGTGCTGACCTTGGCCCACGGTGCCTGTCCTGCTAGAGAAATTTAAGTCAGCAGAGAAATATTGGTGCTAAGTTTAAACATTTCCCAAGTCCAGCCATCTGCAGCGTTTTGCTGCAAAGAAGATTAAAATAAAGCTTTTGGCTTCCTTTTCCCTTTCTGAGCATTTTATCCATCAGACTGGTGATAAAGTCGGTCATTGGACTTTAAGAAATGGGTGCATTTTCATGTAGAAATCCCATCCCCTAATGGGATGGTGTTGGAGGTAGAACCTTGTGGTGATGAGGCCGTGGAGATGGAGTAAGAGGCGGCCCCTGAGAGCCTGCTTGCTGCTCGTTCCCCCGTTGAGGACACCAAGAGAGGATGCTTCTAACCAGGAGGAGGGCTCTCCCCAGACCCCAGACCCGCCAGCACCTTGTCTTCTAGAAATAAATGTTTGTTGTTTCGGCCACCAGCATATTTGTTATAGTAACCCAAACTGGCTAAGGCATATATGAACATGGTTTAACTATTTCAACTTAACCTTTATTTTTGAGAAAATTGTAGATTAGCCTGTATTTCTAAGAAATAATACAGAGATAGGTGCTTTGTATTGGTTTGTACTCTTTGCCTGATTTCTCCCCGTGGCGACATCTTGAAAAACTCGAGAGCAGTATCGCAGCCAAGATGCTGACATGGATGCAGCCCAGATGCGAACATTCCCGTCACCACCAGGGTCCCGTATAGCCAGGCCCATGTCCTCTGACTCCCTCCGGAGCCTCTGCAACCACTCCTGTGTTCTCTTTCTGTGGTGCTGTCATTGCAGAATGGCAGGCAAAGTACACATTATGCAAAGTAAACTCTCACGGTCCGTAACCTTTTGGGATATTTTCACCCAGCGAGGAGCGCTGGAGGCTCCTCCGGTTAGCGCATTCAGTAGTCTGCTCCTCGTGCTGCCAGGCGTGTCCACACCGGGGCGCTCAGCTGTCCCCCTCCCCGCCCAGTGCCCCGCAGGGCATCTGCTCTGTCCGCAGCTGTGGCTGTGGTCTGCAGAGCTGCTATGGACAAACGTGCATGTTTCTGGGTGAACTGTGGTCTCCGTTTCTCTGTGACTGCGGGGGGAATGCTGGGCCTTGTAAGAGACTGCGCTGTGCCACTTCCCATTCTCACCCACCGTGTCTCAGGGCCCGGGCCTCTGTCCTGGCCAGCACTGGTGTTGCCCTCCTTGTATTTCAGCCGTGGTGCTAGGTGTGGCTCCTTGTGCTGAACCTGTGCATTTTCCTAATGGCTATGGAAGTTACACATCTTATTTTATTTTTATCTGCTTATTTGCCGCCTGTATATTCTTTTTGGTTAAATGTCTGTAAGTTTCTGCCTATTTTTGAATAGGGTTGTTTATGTTTTACTGTTGAATTTTGAGAGTTCTTTATAGTCTAGATACTCGTTAGTCCTTTGCTCAGTTTGTGGTTTGTAAGCAGTTTCTCCCAGTCTGTGGCTCGTCTTTTCATCCTATTCATATGGGTGTTTATAGAGCAAAAATGTTAATTTGCTTACATCAAATGTGTTAACTTTTCCTTTTATGGATGGCCCTTTTGGTGTCAAGCCTAAACATTATTTGCTTACTCCTAGACCCCAAAGACTTTTCTCCTGTCTTTTTTCTAAAAGTTTTCTAGCTTCTATTTTACGTTTGGGTTTGTGGTTTATTTGGATTTGATTGGTGTGAAGTGCATGAGGCTTGTTTGTCCGGTGTGTTCCCTCCCTCCCCCCAC